TGAAGCCACATCGCGTTTCTCAGTGGCGGTGATGTCTGTAGGGGGAAAGACAAGAAGAGCCGGAGACATATTGGCATAAATAATTTACTGCAGTCGTGCATCAAATCATTCCACGCGAGGTATTTTTGTGCTGCTGGAATGATCGGACTCTGCATCACTAATTTCCTTAAGAGCAAAAATGAGCTTGTGCCGTAGACTTTGCTAAAATCGTCTAATTGAAATAATTGGACATTAAAATAAAGAACCCCAAATGACTGTCTGAGAACACTTCAGTTAATTAGTTTGTACTTAGAGAGAGAGAGAGAGAGGTAGAAGCATTTGTAGTGTTATTGCAAAATCATCTAATAAATCTCCTTAAATACACATTAAAGGGGCATTTCGAACGTTAAACGACGCTAATGTGAAACTCAATCGGACCAACTCTGCGGCTCCGTGCAGCTTTAAGCTTCTTGCGGTTCGCTCTCACTTTAATTCTGCAGCTGCTTGAGTGATGTATGTTTGAGTCTTGTGCTTTTCACAAGTCAGTGGAGGCAAAAATCGAGGAGAAGGAATCATCAGATGGACAGAAACACACATCAAGCTGAGTCCATTTGCCTTCTTGTGGTCAAAAATACGTATTGGGATCATTCTTCAGATGCTCCGCCTCCACACAGCTCAGTTTGGTCACATAGTATACAGATTATGCTGGTGTTCAAGGCAAAGAAGTGCATTTTGTTACGGATAGACACAAACTTCACAGCAAGAAGCGAGTCATCCACTTTAATGTGAAATGTGCTCTGAGCATCGGTGCCATTAAAATGGGACCAGTGATGATTTGATCATCCATCAGAAAATAGATTTCCTCAAAAACATAACAGAGTGCAGTTAAGCTGTATAGAAATGTGATGTTTTGGGAGGCAGACTGATTATTGCCAGTGTTATTACAAAATCCATATTTGTCAACAAGTCCCACTAAAATGGCAAAAAACCAACATGTATTACTTCTTCTCTCGGTTCTTTCTGACTTTCCTAATCACACGTTTATTTATATGGGACGCTAGCAGAGGTTATTCAGAGTGCTTTGGATGCAACATGTAATCAAAATTTAAGTAATAAATTATTCAGGAACAGCACAGACAAGTTGGATAAAGTGCACAAAGATTTATAGAATTAGAACCGAAGACATGAGACAAAAAAAAAGCACCTAAGACATACAGCATACAATAAAACAGAAAGAAATTCATTAAAACTAAGTGAATGAATAAGTTTGTTTGCGCATACCTTAATGCTGCTCCTCCTGAATACATAATTCTGTAAAGAAACGGCTGATGGATGTGGGAAATTTTTGCAGTAAAGTTAGTTAAACATCTTTATAAACCATCTGGGTGTTTCTTTTATTTGAGCTACTCTTGTGTAATTGGTGTATTTATCGGGGACTGTCTGGAACTCTACTGTGTATTTACAGCAGCAGGACTGTGTGCAGTACTGCAAAAATCCATTGCAAGCTTTATTGATATATTTTTAAAGGTATTTTTGTACTTGGCCGAGGGAATACAGCTGCATCAGGCTTTGGAAGCACAAATGAGACTTGCTAGATCAGGTCGCAGCTTGTTTCGGTCTTTCTCTGAGATTTGTTGACATTAAGACAAATACAGAACAACGCTGACCTTGTCTTTCATGAAAATCAGATCAACGTTACCCTGTAGTCCCGTCTGAAAACCGTCGCTTTCATTTCTGTATTCCCAGATTCTCCCTCTGCCTGCTTTCCTCCTCCAGCCCTCCTTTCCCGCCTCCTTCAGGGCCTCATTATAGCGGTAAACAGATGCTTTCATCCAGGCTATTGAACTCGTCCTCTGACACGTGATGCCTGAACACATCCGCAGCTGTGCTCACATTTGCGGGAGGAGACGAGCGCGGCGCGGACGTAGCCGGGAATCGCATTAGCATCGCGGGAGAATCGCTCCTCTCCAGGTTCAGCAGGTTTCCTTGACAGCCTGCTGCTCGGCTCTTGTGATCGTCTTCCCTTTCCTCCCTCTAATAACATTGTCCTGCTCTGACTCTGTTACGCCCAAGAGGCTGCAGGGTAAAGAGATAACAGGCGGGCGTAATTGCAGACGGGGAAAACTGAAGCATTGTTTACTGGACGCTAATTGAATCCTGCCACAGACAGCAGGACTGTGCGTTTCCTTTGCCTGACACTGGAGTGATGTCCAGGGCTGCTGCTGCCAGAACAATCAAGACTTTAGGTTCTGTCTTGTGGAATATAAACGTCTTTTCCCTAATCCTTTGATTTATCTTCAGGATGCAAAACAGTAAAGTTGAGGTTTAGTTTCACATCGCAGGACTCTCCGACATACTTTGTTGTACCTTGTAGTTCTTTCTTTTTTTTTTTGTCGTAAAAGTTCTTCTGGTTGTTCGGCTGGTCTTTCCGTCCGTCTTGCCAACATTTCTAAACATTAACATCATGTTTTTTTTCATCTAACTTCATACAAATTTGCACAATTTCAGCAACTCCATCTTTCTTCTTAAGGTGGATTCTCGTAGGTCAATCGTAGCAACTGCTTGAGTTCCTTGAAGACGTTTCATCCAAGAGGCTTCATCAGTTCTGACTGACTAGTTGGGAGATACTTACATACTTAAAGAGTCATTAACACTTGAGTTTCGGTTTCAATTTGTTGCTCCTCCCCCTCGTTATGCGAGTCGTTAGTGCTCCCCCTGCCACAGTGGGGTTCATTAACATCCTTAACGAACTCCCGACTAGTCAGTCAGAGCTGATGAAGCCTCTTGGATGAGAGGCGAGACGTCTTCAAGAAAGCAAGTCCAGTCGCTACGATTAATCTTCAGACTTTTAAGGTGGATTTCTGTGAAAGTAGCTGGAAAGTTTGCTCAGTCTGGTTTTAATTGTAGTCACCACAAACTCAGAAATGCGTTTTCACTCTTGTTGCGTAACTTCATCCAGGTCGGTAGCTCTTAACCAGCAGCTCTTCACATGTGTTGTGCAACAGGTTTTAATTTCCGCCCTGCTTGTGATGAAGTGAAATGCTGCCAGTGGAGCATCTTAACTCGCTTGAACAAACAGCAGATGGACATATACGCAGAACTGGCCAACAAATCACTGGAAGCTCGGTGATTAAATAAATGAATGAATGCAGGCGTTGTTCATTACAGAGCAAAGCAGCAGCAGCGCTGTTACACGCTCTCATGTTAAATGAATGAGTCAGACAAATGTTCTGCTGTTAAAATTGCACCACTTGAGCCTCAAGGAGCTCATCTGCAAAACAGCATCCGTCTACGTTCTGCAGTGCAGACGGAGAGGAGAACCAAAACTCGCTTCACACGTCGCTCAGAAAGATTTAGCATCGTAAGCTACTCATGTATGTAATGGAGTCGTCAGCGGTGCATTGCAACAGTTTTCTGCTAATGCGTCACACTGGTCTGGTCTTTGATTTGGTCTTAACTCCTCTTGGTTTTGTCTCAGTCCCGGTGCACTCTGGTCTTGGCTACGACTTGGGATATGTCCGAAATTATCCACCAGTTCCCTCCTCTGTATCTATGAACACTACACGGTGCGGTTGTTTGATTGTAAGGTTGGCGGTTTGATCCCCGGCCCCTCGACAGTCGAAGTGTCCTTGGGCAAGACGCTGAACCTGAAGTTGCTCCCAATGGCAGGCAGCAGCTTGCATGGCAGCTCTGTCACCATTTATGTATGAATGTGTGTGAATGGCTGAATGAGAAACACATTGTTAAGCGCTTTGAGTGCCGCTAAGGTAGAAAAGCGTTGTATAAGTGCAGTCCATTTACCATTTATCTTTTGTGCTGTGTATGCAGCTGCTCAGCAGAAGTAACATTTTTGTGATAAATTCATATTATACTAAGCATATTTTCTGAAATGAATTTAAAAAATAACTTTTTTTGTTTGTTTGTGTCATGATGCATTACTCTTCTGCCATCTTCTGACACATCAATACAAATGATTATTTAAAATTTGGATATTTTTGTGCCGTAACTCGTGGATTAGTCTCGTGCCTGTTGTTATTTCAACAAGCTACACTTATAGAAAAGACATATTCAAAATACGAAATCCCACCAGTCCTCAGTTGACTCTCTGGTCTGTCTACCATTCTCCTCAGTGCATGATGGTACATATAAGGGAGTCACGATATATCGGCGACCACATCGGTATCGGCCAATATTAGTGTTTTTTCTGATATATCGGTATCAGTCCGATGAACAAATTCTTTTAAAAAACGATGATTGTCTAACATCAGCGCCTTCATCTCTACGTTTAATATTGCTGCTATTTCACAGATGGTTTTACTTAAATGGTCCTGGACTTGAACGTTAAATGTGTTTAAATAGGTTGTACTTTTGTTACGTAATAAAGAAGACTGTGTGGTCTAATTTGGGCTTCTTTTGAATCGTTTTCTCACAGTGTTTACTTATACTTATTTTTTGGTGTGAACAAAAATTGAATATTGACATCTGTAATATCTGTTATCGGCGATATCAGAAATCTTAATATCGGATATCGGTATCGGCCAGAAATGTTAATATCGTGCATCACGAGTACATATTGTTGGTTAGTGACTGTTGGCTGTACGCTATTTTCGCGGTGCATTGTGGGATACTTTGAGTGACTATACAGGTTATAACAATCAGAACTTAACCTTTAGGCAGCACGACAAACATTTGACTGATTTCGGGATCAACCTTAGTCTCAGTTTAGGTGGTCTCGACAACAATCTTCAAATCAAAAATGACGAGGCTGAAACTTGTTGCAGAGGTGGAGAATTAGCGAAGAAAGAGCCTGTTCGATGTTGATCTGTTTCTTCCAAGCTGTGCGGCAGAGCGTTGGCCTCGGTGAAGATCTACTTTAGTTTTTAAGTGCATCCTTGCATTTTGTGACCCACGCTGACGGATCTGATGTGATTCAGTCATCAACAGATTCTGAGATGTGCTGTGACTGTATGAGTGCCAACAACAAATATTAACCTTTTTTTCCTCCCCTTCCTTTCATCCAGGCTGACCCATGACATCAGCCTGGACGAGTTTGAAGATGACGACCTGTCGGAGATCACGGAGATCACAGATGAGTGCGGGATGAGCCTCAACTGCAACGGCCCGGATATAAAGGTAAGATCCCTCCGCGAACAGCTGCTTCCCACCAGACTCCCTTACTTGTCTGTTATTAAGTCCAAATCAACATTTCCTCAGCTTTAAACTTGGTGTTTGACTTCCCACTGTTTGCTTATCGGCTACAAGGGAACAAAGTTAAATTGTTTTGAATCTGCAGCTTCTCTAAAGTTATGACTGGACGCTACACAGGAGGAAGGTTCAGTTAAAGAAAAGCAACAAGCACATAGCAGGAGAGTCAGATTGTTGCAGCCTCCCTGGTCTCCCTGTTAATTCTCAGTAAACATGCCGTAGATGTGAAGGTGGCGCTGTGGGAATAAAGTGCTTCAGAGTCTCTTAGAGTCTCGTTGTTTGCTTTCAGGCTGCATCACAGACAGCTGTCGTGTCATTTGTTGCATTTGAAAGTGTCGCTGACAAACAAGGTCAGAGTTGATGCTGATTTTACTCTGAGCTCAGCAGCGAGGTGGAAAATCCAGGAGTCACAGATGCTCAGGTTGTGCTGCTGCATAGTGGGATGCTTCACTCTCTTCTCCTCTCTACGGGAAAACTGGTTCACTGCTGCACAGAAGGAAGTCAAATTTAGGCTTTTAAGGCCACCATACATGCTGTTCAGAGATGTTTTCGCATCCAAACTGGCAAAAAAGGTATGAAAACCAACCTTACTGTTCACTGTAGAGTTCAACAATCTAAAGTTCCAACTACAAAGTTCAGAGGAGCGTCGGGTTTAATGTTGTTTGTGCTGAGGTTGCTCCCAACTGAAATCAGGACGATATTTGTTGATGCCACATGTTTGCCGGTGCCTTTTAGCAGCAACTTAGTTTTCTGACGCCCCGCACAGCTCCAGAGTCTCTATACCCAAAGTTCCTCTGGTGCAGCAGGTTTCAGTTTTATTAGTTTAAACAGGATTCAACCAAACACTAAAAGTCGTCAGGGCAGATCCTGCTGAACTTACACCTACCCAAGAATGCTTGTAATATAAACGGTTTTAACCACATGCTAGCTGGGTGTCCTCTGATGAATGACAAGAAGACATGTAGAAGTGAAGTTAATGCAACTTTAGAAACGTGCCCTTGACTCATGTGTACGGGGACGTAGCACATATGGTGTGGTATATCTGTGGATGGTATATTAAGATAAGATGAGGCTTTGTTAATCCCACAGTGGGGAACTTTGCAGTGTTACAGCAGCAAAGGGGATCCTGCAAAAATGAAGGGACAACAGTGGAAATATTCAAAATAAACAAGAGATGTACACAAGTACTGTTGACAGCCTCTTCCATATGTAGACATTCAGATATTGCACAGATCCCACTGAAGGAGGAAATATTCTATATGTAGAAAAATACAGACCTTTCTAAGTAGTTAAAAAGAATTACCAGCTCATGTAGTTTTGCCTTTTTTTTTTTTTTTTAAACATAACAATGAGTCACACGCGTTCCTTCAGTGACACTCTGTCGAAGTTTGAGCTCAGCTGAGGGTCAGACGCTGCTTTCTGTCGTGTTTTGTACCGAACAGCTGCAGTGTTCAGCTTCCTGCCAGCCGAGGAAAACAGGCCAGAGGCAGCGAGTCCTGACAGATGGCGACAGAGATGCTGCGTACAGTCCTTGAGTCTGATTGCGTACGATCGCCCTTCTCCATCCTGGGCATCTAAATAATTCACTGTGAGCTGTTTACTGTTTGCAGAGGGCCTCGGTAAGTCCTGGGACCACTGGCACCCTGTTTTTTTTTGTCTCCAGTGTTCTCGGCTTAGAATCGAGTGGGTCATTATCAAAACTGGAGCAAGAGATGTGGGGTTGCACTGGGGGAGAAAATAGGCAGAGGTAAATTTATTATTCTGTCAGATCTCTCCCGCACTGTTCCCAGTGAAACCATCATCACGTCCTCCTCCTCCATTCAGCTCAGCCGTAACCTAGGCAACAGGAGGGTTGAGGGGCTTTTCATGAGCAGATGAGTGAATTTTTTTTTTTCTTTTCTGTGACTCTTATTTGATTGTCTCTCAGTCGGTGACCTGACTGATAGGAACGTCACTCCAGTGCTGCAGAGTGCCGGGGAGTATTTTTAGGTTTAAAAGCCAGTCCCTCGCTTCTTTCACTGCTTTTTTCTTTCCCCTCGTCTTTCTATCCAGGGAGCTAATTATAGCCCCCATTACTGAATGTGAGCTCTCGCTGCTGGAGGTGTGTGTGTGTGTGTGATGACTCATCCCCTTGCAGGGGTCTGGCAGAGATCAGAATCCGAAACGGCTTCTGGACTGGCGAACGTTAGGCCGTTCTGACAGCGGCAGCGACAACAAACGTCACATGTCAGCGAGTGTCATCGCTGTGGGGACACGGAGCTAACCGGCTGCGTGTCTGCAGGGAGTGTCGGGTACATGTCGGCTGAAGGGAAAGAGCAGGCTCTGCTGGTTAGACTCCATAGTGTGTTTCCCCTCCACGTCTTGGGTCTGTTTGTTTTGTTGCTCATCAGTTTTTGGATTCGACAGCTTGGTTACAGTCAAGATGAATAACAGATATTCACTAAATTTAATTTAATTGAAAACCTTTGGAAGGCCAAATGAAGGTTTTATAACATTTTCATCCTTGTGTTTTTTGGGGTTTTTTTAGATATATTTTTAATTACTCGCAGGATTTCCTCAACTATGTTCTTTTAACTTGCTCTGCTTTAGCGTATTCAGATAAGATGAGACAAAACTTTACTAATCCCTTTGAAAATTAGATTGCTCAGAAAAAAAACAAATGACATAACATGAAAAACGCAGTGTCTAAAAGTAAAAAATAATAAAACATAAGTGCAGTACATTACTGAAATTACTGAGATAAGTGAGCAAAAATAAGGCGAATAGAACAAATTGAATAGAACAGTAATGCTGGCTATTGTACAGGAGTAATAAGTAATACCCCACGTGGTAATGGGTAAAAAAAGAAATATTATATTGCACCTGAAAAAAATGACATGAAAATGAAATAGTTCACATCTTGACATGCTGTACATAGAAGTAAATATCACACATGTAATTAAATAGCTGCAAATGACAATGAAATGTTAACTAAAATCTCAAATATTAAAACATAAATATGCTTTAAAAAATATTTATTTGAATTAGTTTTCATTATTTGTCTAATTTAACATGTGCTTTTTTGTAAAGTATTTTGTACCTTTGTTTAAAAAAAGAAATCTAAATAAAAAAAGTTAGTATTACAATAAACATGCCGGCTATGAAAACATTTTCTTTTAAATTTTTGGTTTATTCTTTCATTTCGAAGCTCCCTCACGTTGCATCTGTTACAGTCGGTAATGTTAACGTTCTTTACCAACATGTAGATGTAAGATGTTTGTCTCAGTGAGTATTTGTGCAGTATTTTGTGTTGAATGTGGTGTTTTTATAGAGAAAGTATGATCCAGTTGTGTCAACCGTAATAGTGCTGGTTTCCAGATTTACAAAAACAACACAGATACGTCCAAGATAAGCTTCTTTTCACAAGTAATTGCAAGTCAGAGTCAGATAACTGTCTGGGCTAATTGGTAACACGATGCTTCAGCTCTCTGACTAAAAAAAAACAAAACAACTTGTGTAACTTGTTGAACTCGTCTGCAACTGAGCTAGTTTCTGAGATGCTGTTGAGCATGATGCTGAGAGAAAATCCCAAAATGAGGGATGAGGACTGTTTGCTTCCTGAGCATTTAATCCATATGGACAACAGATGGAGCAGCTTGAAGTGAAAGACAAAAAATAAAAAACACAACACATTACATCATAGTGCTTTTTTTTTTTCCTTTATGCCACTGCTGTGCAATCTGCATCGAGCAGCTTCTTAAGTCTTTTAGCTCATAGTTTAGGTTCTTCTGTTGCTTCAGAGGAGGTTTAGTTCAGAGTTTAGGATTTAAATCGGCTGTAAAATTGGCATCCTGTCTCCAAACCCTTCATGACTAACATCACTTTTTGTGGGTCCACGTCATTATTTCATCAAAATAGCACAAAACTGGAAACTTGTCTTGCCAGACTTGTCACACATCAAATTTTATTGATGTTGAGGCTTCAAAAGTTGATAAAAAGTCGACCAAAGACTGTATTTTTAGTTAGATATGTGGATAGATCCTCGTATGTACACTTGCATGAACTTTATAGGACCCCAAAACTGACCTTGTTTGAAAATGTTGCACTTTCTTCCATTTTCGAGGGCCAAGAACTACAAATATGGCCTCTGTTTGAACTTAATCAGTTGGATCTGCTGGAAACAGTTTGTCTGTGTCTTCACCTAGTGTCATAGTTGTAGGAGTTTTATTTGTGGAGATATTAAAAATAACTCCCGAGGTTAAAATAACCAAAACATCTCAGTTCTGAAAACATCAGAAATCCTCAAAATATAGCCAAAATCTCACAAATTGGGGTTCCAAGTAACAAATAAATCACCTTGGATGACCAGACGTGGATGCAAACTGCAGCTTCACTGGTCGGTGGAGGCATACGATCGCAATACAGTAATTCTAGTTATTTTTAACTTCCTGTAGCGTTTCATGCAACTGTAACATTTAGTAAATCATAGTTCCTGAGATTATTGAGACATGAAAACAGGGCTGAGGATCAGAGACTGAATCAGCTGCATCTCATCAAATGTCTTCATATGAAATACTCGGTGAGCTTTTGAATTGCCCCGAGGGGATAAATAAAGTTATTTGAATTGAATTGAATCACTCAGACTGACATTCCTCCTCCTCCGCTGTCATATTCCAGCTGTGATCACAGTGACACGCCTTTGTCTTTGCTTTCCGTGTAAGCGTGTTTGATGGAGCCCCGGTCTGTTTAAACATGTATGAGGAGGCGGCGCGGCAGCAGCAGAGGAAGCCCACGGTGTGTGTTCACGCAGCGAGCGGTGACCTCATCAGTGAGCTCATCACCTCGGGGGGGCATCATCAATAATGGACGGTCACATGGAAGCAGCATCACGCCCTCCAGACAGGCGTGGTGTCTCCCTCAGCGGGGGGAGGTGTCAGGATGGGGAGGGT